CTCTTCTGGATCTCAACGACGTCCGAGCAGATGAGGCAAACCGTGCTCGCTGTGCTAGTGGAAGTGTCCCCTGATGTCTTGTCAGTGGAAAAAAATAGCTTTTAAAGAGCAGCATTGGCAAGACCGAATGACGATCGCATCCTACCGTGAAGAAGTTATTTGCACCAAAACAAGAGACCAGGTAGACTCTGCCTTCCCTTGATGCTTGCAGAAGGCGTAAAGGAGGCAGGATCTGGCCCGCGGAGAGTTTAAGAGTGCAGCAGATTGATCTGCCAGCAGGCAACAATATGTTGCCATAAGGTGCAATATAACTCCTAGGAACAGGCTAAGAAACAGCTTTTTTAACTCAGCATGCTGTTAATGCTCATAAAGCACCTGATCCAGGGTTAATGTCGTGGGGAGACTCTCCGTGTCATTCAGCGGTCAAGGGGTTGGGAACTTATTTAGGGGGAAGGGGGAAACATCCCAAGCAGCTTCATGCAACTGCATGCTTCCAGTGACTCCTCCATGGGGTTGCATAGGCAGTGATGTAGATGCAGAGCCACAGCAAAGACTCGCCATGTCACGCTTGTTTGGCCAAGACCACGATTCTCCAACGGGCCTGACTACACGGGAAGCCCAGAAAGCTCTGGGGTCTTCTTCCTCCGCCTTTGGGCACTGAAGGTAATTATGAAGAAGGTATTGCTTTCTGCAGGGACGGTCCATTTATTATGCTTGCTTTTCTCACCCATCTACTTGAGCAGCTTTTACTCAGAGAGAGGATAAACACTTGGGTGCGTGCAAAAGCCAGCCGGGGCAAAGAAGCCAGAGCCTTTTGCAGTAACTCACTGATTCAGGTATGGCTTGAAGGGGTCACAACAGTTTATCAAAATACACACGTGATCTCAGGGGGGGTTTTGTTTTTCATCACAAAACCCATTGTTATATGCCAACAACCAACACCTATTAGGCACCAAGGATCTCATTGGCAGGTCGAATGAGCTACGTTTCCTCCAAAAACAGCACTGCTGGCAAGACTTGCGTCTCCAAAGCCGTGGGCCCAACATCAACATGGATTTCTACTAATAGCAAAGATAATGCAGATGTTTCCGGTTTTCCATGAATAGCAACTACTGCCCCAAATCCTTGGGTCCATCTGGCAACCTGGCATTATTTTTATATTACAGAAATGTTGAGTAGCCCTAGCTGAGATAGGGCTCCCATCCCACCCCTCTCTGCCAAGGCCTCTACAAGCACATAGTGTGGGGCTGGAACAACTCCTCATGGTCAAGTAGTGTGAAAGTGCTGAGACATTTCAGGAAAATGCTCTTTAACAGAGTGGCCTCTGACAGCTGTGTCGTGCTCACACAAATTAAATCAACATGGGATATATCTCTGTGGTAGAGAATGTCCATTAATTCCCAGCTAAATCAATTCCCTGTGACAACCTTTCACAACAGTAAAGAGTAGACTGCCCATTTTAAAATAGATATTCCTTGATAAACAGCCCCTGAAATTATGTGATTGATAAACATAAAGATTTCAACCTCTTTAAATCAAATACGGCATATATAGATGTAAGCAAGCGGGTGTT